TGCCAATAAGCAGAATGTTCAGTGTCAGTTGAGTGTTAGCTTGGTCTAACAGCAGATACTGCTTTAAACCCATAGTAGAACAAAGTGCTCTCCCAAATCCAAACCCAAAACAAATGTTGATCTTAATCCAATGGAGCACCACTTTGCTCTAGCAGGTGCCTTAAAAATGTTTTAAATAAAATACATCTATGTTTACCACATGTCATATATTAAAAAGTACAGGCATATTTGAACAGTTATTTAGCATCTATGCTTCCACTCAGTCTACTGCGAACACAGTTACTTTTGGAATGTGTCATGCAACAAACAGCTCTGCTCCACAGCTGGGTATGCATCTAGTCAATGCATCTTTTAATTTCAGTAATGACAGGGTCCTCAGAGCTCTGCACAGTTCTAAGAAAAACAGCTGGTGGGGAGAATGAAAGCATTCTGCTGAAAACACAAGCTAGTGTTTGGCTGTCGTCCAGCAGCATGGAGCCTAGTGTGTAACAAAGAGATTGAAAAGGCTCCCAGATATTTCCACATTCCCACAACCAGAGCGCAATGGATCTGGTGTTCCCAGGAGTTTTTTAGAAAGCTTTAAAATGCCTACTTCTTTGAATGCACCACAAGTGGTGGCATAATGTCCAATAATTAAAAGCAAGATGATTACCATTGTGCATCTGGGCACTTACAACATTCCTTCACAGGAATCTAGGCATAAATGCATATTTTTTTAAAGAGCAGATTTAGTGATGAAGATGAGTTGAACTCAAACCAAATGAACAAAAAAGCACCCAGTGCAATGTTCTGAGACATGCAAACATGTAGGCATGTTCTTACCTGAACATCTGATCCTTTCTTCACTACCTGCTTCTTGCCGTGTGTTTTCAACGGGAACTGTATCAGTAACTCCACCTCTAAGAGAGTAAGCTGACTAGAGAGGGGAGGGACAGGAAAAGCAATGGATGGATTGTTTGTCCTGTTGCTGCGGTGGGATTAGTCATCGAAGAGGAAAAACTCAACAATAAGCAACAAACTGGGATTAAAGTCTTGTCTAAATAGCCTGTTGCTTTGTCATTACTGAACACAAGTGGACACAAATAAGAGGCTTAGCACTGTACCCAATTTAACACTTGAACAAAGACAATGACATTGCAAAGATTGCATGCTTTCTACTGTTGCAAACAGAAAAGGCTTACAAGAGAAACAAATGCTTCTTCAACATTTTCTCAACTTGTGTCAACATTCTGTCCCATTTCAAACCCAAAGTTCAGCCTATTTTATTGTGATTGGTAACATTACTGTACAAAATAAAAGTGTGTGTGGAGGATTAAATATTTTAAAAAAAGACCTGAAAAATCTTAAATTTTCCCCCTTTTGCCTTGGTTCCTCTAAATAAAATTCAGAGTGGAAATCTGCCTTCAGAAGTCACCCAGCTGGTAAATAATTGAATCTAAATGCAACTGCTCTGTGGAGGCTTCAGAAGTAGAGAACATAGGCAGATGTGTCTCCAGACCACAAACCACTGACTCTCTTTCCTGCCGATGTAGAAGCGGTGCTGAGCATGACTAAATTCACAAGGCTAAAATGTGTAGGTGGAGCACACCAATTTTTATTTTATTTTAAATCATTTTTTTATTTAGCTATTTATTTATTCATAATTTAGTATTTGTCTTCAATAGCTTCTAGGTGACTTATTGACTCAAAATCAGTGTGAAATTGTTCTACTGGACTGTACAGATGAGGCACATTTTCATTGCATTTTATCTCATTTTTATTTTTTTTATTTATTTTGGGCCAGCTGTTCTCTACGCTGTCAAGCACTCAGAGATTCACCCAGGGACCGTCAATAAATTTCCAAACCAAACACTCCTGACAAACTAATGTAAATAGATGTCTTGTGACCAACCGTTGAGATTTAGATCTCATTTTCAAGAGGAACCTGGGCAGAAGTCTGCAATACACAGCAACCTGGTTAAAACCAATTAATACGTATGCACAATTGTAAAACAATAAAAAACTATTTAAAAGCAGTGACACTGTTTAATACAGTCATGCTGTCTGTTTTTAAGAACTGCTGAAAATAAATTCAATGAAGTAAATTCTGACATCTTGAGTTCAGACTGGAGCTGATTCCAGGCTGTAGGAGCCATCACACTGAATGTTTTGCTTTCCTTTTTCAGTTCGAACACGTTGAATATGCAAAAGAAAAATGTCATTAGAGTGTAAAGAATGGGAAATAACAGATCTAAGTAAGAGAGAGCTTAGTCGAGTAGAGATTTATACAGTTAGGGCCAGAAATATTTGGACAGTGACACAGGTTTTGTTATTTTAGCTGTTGACAAAAATATGTTCAGAAATACAATTTATATATAGTATGGGCTGAAAGTGCACACTCCCAGCTGCAATATGAGAGTTTCCACATCCAAATCGGAGAAAGGGTTTAGGAATCATAGCTCTGTAATGCAGAGCCTCCTCTTTTTCAAGGGACCAAAAGTAATTGGACAATGGACTCTAAAGGCTGCAAGTAACTCAAAAGGCCTTTCCCTCGTTAACCTGTAATCAAGTAAGTAGTTAAAAGGTCTGGGGTTGTTTCCAGGTGTGTGGTTTTGCATTTGGAAGCTGTTGCTGTGACCAGACAACATGCGGTCAAAGGAGCTCTCAATTGAGGTGAAGCAGAACATCCTGAGGCTGAAAAAAAAGAAAAAATCCATCAGAGAGATAGCAGACATGCTTGGAGTAGCAAAATCAACAGTCTGGTACATTCTGAGGAAAAAGGAATTGACTGGTGAGCTTGGGAAAAAAGGCCTGGGCGTCCACGGAAGACAACAGTGGTGGATGATCGACGCATACTTTCTTTGGTGAAGAAGAACCCGTTCACAACATCAACTGAGGTCCAGAACACTCTCAGAGAAGTAGGTGTATCTGTCTCTAAGTCAACAGTAAAGAGAAGACTCCATGAAAGCAATACAAAGGGTTCACATGTAGATGCAAACCATTCATCAATTCCAAAAATAGACAGGCCAGAGTTAAATTTGCCCAAAATCACCTCAAGAAGCCAGCCCAGTTCTGGAAAAGTATTCTATGGACAGATGAGACAAAGATCAACCTGTACCAGAATGATGGGAAGAAAAAAGTTTGGAGAAGAAAGGGAACGGCACATGATCCAAGGCACACCACATCCTCTGTAAAACATGGTGGAGGCAACGTGATGGCATGGGCATGCATGGCTTTCAATGGCACTGGGGTGACTTGTGTTTATTGATGACATAACAGCAGACAAGAGTAGCCGGATGAATTCTGAAGTGTACCGGGATATACTGTCAGCCCAGATTCAGCCAAATGCTGCAAAGTTGATCAGACGGCGCTTCACAGTACAGATGGATAATGACCCCAAGCATACAGCCAAAGCTACCCAGGAATTCATGAGAGCAAAAAGGTGGAATATTCTGCAATGGCCAAGTCAGTCACCAGATCTTAACCCAATTGAGCATGCATTTCACTTGCTCAAATCCAGACTTCAGACGGAAAGACCCACTAACAAGCAAGACCTGAAGGCTGCGGCTGTAAAGGCCTGGCAAAGCATTAAGGAGGAGGAAACCCAGCGTTTGGTGATGTCTATGGGTTCCTGACTTAAGGCAGTGATTGCCTCCAAAGGATTTGCAACAAAATATTGAGAAAAAACTTTTTTGTTTGGGTTATGTTTATATGTCCAATTACTTTTGAGCTCCTAAAATGTGGAGTGTTTGTAACAAATGTGTACAATTCCTACATTTTCTATCAGATATTTTTGTTCAACCCTTTAAATTAACGTTACAATCTGCACTTGAATTCTGTTGTAGAGGTTTCATTTCAAATCCAATGCGGTGGCATGCAGAGCCCAACTCACGAAAATTGTGTTACTGTCCAAATATTTCTGGCCCTAACTGTAAACCAGGATCATCAGGTGATTGTTTCTCCGTACTTTTAAAAGAGGCCATCCAGCTTTTGCATAAAACTCACAATGACGTGCAAGATGTCTGCTACCAGTTATAAACCTTAAAGCACAATGATACACAGTCTTCTGTGACTTAAGTTATTTGGTTGAAGCATTCATATATAAAACATCTCCATAATCCAGGAGAAGTAGGAATGTTGCTGCTACCAATTTACTTGTAGCTTTGAGAGAGAAACAAGATCCATTTCAGTAATAAAACAATCTTCATTTTCAATGTTCATTAAAAAAATTGCTATGTGATTTTTAAAAGAAAGCTCTTTATCAAGAATAAAGTCAAGATATTTATAATAACTGACAAACTCAATTTGTGCACCTACAGCAGTGGTAAGCAGTAGAGGGATTTCTGGTAGTTTTCTAGAGCTGCTTTTGTCTTATCTACATTTAAAACCAACTTCAGAGTTTGTAAGTGGGTTTGAACTACATTGAAAGCAGAATGCAAATACTGTATTGCCTGTGATAGTGATGAAGAATAGCAGTAGATAACTAAATCATCTGCATAAAAATGATAAAAAGCATTTGACAAATTGTCATTCAAGTTATGAAGTTCTGACATCCCTCAGACATTCTCTCAGTCATCAAGTTAAACTATTTATTGGATTTGTATCTGTAGCAATCCGATTTATTGTTTATTTGCTTCCTTGATTTTTGTGTTTCAGTACTCTAACCCCGAACTTGAAAACAAAAACCTGTTGTTGCTATGGCAGGGATGGTACATAATAATGTTGAGATTCAGATGTGTTCATCTGACTCTCCAAGCACTCTGCACAGGAACTCAGGGAGAGTGTTTGTCAAGGAGGAATAACATTCCTCTGCTTCAGCAGTGGATTGATGCAGAAAGTCACGACAGCCCCTGTGGCTCCTGCTTGACTGTTAGAGCTCAGAGGTCTGCCAGGGTGGAGGGTAGCAGAAGTCCAACCCTAGCTGAAACGTTCTATCATACCAGACGGGTTGAAAAATAATTTTGGCTCAGAATGGTCAGAGGAATGCATTTTGGGGGTTTTCATGCAAGCTTGATCTTTTTGATGTTCTCTGTTGAAGGCTTATTGCTGAAGGAGCAACGCAGGAATGCAGAGGTGACTCAAGGGCTCAGCAAAGCAATCTTAGAAATGCTGCATATCAAGAAAGTGTCAGCGAGTCATCAGTCCAAACCTCATCCTTACATGAATAGGATCTATCAACATCTGGAGTCACTGGAAGCTCAAGACTTTGGAAGATCAGATGGTATCCTAGTGCAGAGTTTTCGAAGTTTTGATGGTAAGAACGATGTTTTTAGTAGGAAAACATTTTAATACCATTATCAAGTAAGAAGGATGAAGCTGTGGAACTGTACCTCCACAAATAGCTTTGCCTGTGTAGTTGTTTGAGACAAGAAATAATGCAGTATTTTACTGTTTGGATCACTCAGGGCCCAATCATGCTCCACAAGGATGGATCTGGTTCAACATCAGCAGCCTGAACCTCTCCATGCTAGGTGCAGAGTTGGTCCTCTACAGGAAGACCCTCCATTCATGCCCTCTCAGTGTCACTGTGGCCCTGCACAGCATCATTGCATCACAGCACAATCTGAATGAAATTCCTGCTTTGGAGGAGAGGCAGCTGACGCTGGGCCAGCGGCCCTCTTCTGGGTACGATGTTTTTAATGTGTCCGTTGTTTTGGCTATGCGGCATCTGGAGGTGGTGGGCTTCCAGCTGAGGTATACAGATGAGAGTGGGAGTTTGGTCCTCCATGAGGCGCTGACACAGAGTCTGTACTGTTTGAGCAGAGGCACTCTGCAGGAACCCCTGCTGGTGTTTTACAAAGCACGGCTTCTTCAGTTCTAATAACATCACCTGGACCACAGCAAATTCAAGGAAAATTCATAGTTCATTTCCTCTTCTATCTGACAGTAGAAATTCCTAAACAGTATATTTTGTGTCGAATGAGTCACTATGCATTTTTCTGTAATTTCAAATGGAGTTTGGCTTGTCTGAGAAACAAGTGATAAATAATTCAAACAGCCAGCTGACAACATTCAGATAGAGCAGAATTTTGAAGTGAAGCTCCTTCAAGGTTGTAAGCAGTTAATTTTTTCAGTATAAATCCAGACTAGGTAGTCGTCAAGACTAAAGCCAGAGGCTAATCTGAGAGGGACAAAGACCAAGGCATTCTTCAGTCTGAATACATGAGTGGTTTTGCTACAGCTCTTTTAGTCATCTTTAAACCATTGTCAGTGTTTGTGTTCTCCCTACATGTAACCTCCTTTGTGTTTGACACTGTATAATAAAGCAAAGATGCTCATCTTAAGGTAGGAGTCTCTATTTGCTGTCATTTTTGTAATATTTCATTCATTCAGAGTTCATAGGGGATAAATACATTCGCAAAAGAACTGAAATTTCAATTTCTAAAGGGTGTGGATCACTCACAGTCTGTCTGTCTGTCTGTCTGTCTGTCTGTCTGTCTGTCTGTCTGTCTGTCTGTCTGTCTGTCTGTCTGTCTGTCTGTCTGTCTGTCTGTCTATCTATCTATCTATCTATCTATCTATCTATCTATCTATCTATCTATCTATCTATCTATCTATCTATCTATCTATCTATCTATCTTATTTCTGTCTGAGCATTATGCGGCTTTTGGCCTTTTTCTTTAAATAAGAACGTTTGTCCATCTATGGAAAAGTGAACATTATGAGTCAGGGTTTTACTATTTCAGTTCACAGTTCATGAAGTGGGTCTATCATAGTTTCAGTACCAAACATCTTTCTGTACACAGACACAGAAACAGCCTAACATTCTGCACTGTTCTTTAGTTTTATCTTATTTAAGTGACTCCAGACAGATTTGGGTAATTAATTAATTGATTACAAAACATCAAAACAGTCAGTAATCAAACCTAAGCCATTATTTATCAAATTTTTTGCATACATACACAATTTTGTACTGAACTACAAAATAATCTTCAAATAAATAAATCCAATACTGTACACAATTGCCATTCATCAATATAAAAATAATTCTAAATAAAGTACTGCATTGCTACTTATCACTGCAATGCCATTTGGATTGAAGTGCTGATGATACAAGTCTGCCCTCTTATAGCTGATTTAAAAAAAAAAAAAAAAATATATATATATATAATATATATATATATATATATATTATATATATATATATATATATATATATATATAAAAATTCCCTTCTCACCCACCACGGGTGGTTCTTATCCTCTGAGCTCGGGTCCTCTACCAGAGGCCTGGGAGCTTGAGGGTTCTGCAGTATCTTGGCTGTGCCAAGGACTGCACATTTCTGGACTGAGATGTCTGATGTTGTTCCTGGGATCTGTTGTAGCCACTGCTCCAGTTTGGGGGTTACTGCCCCGAGGGCCCCGATGACCACAGGCACCACTGTGGTCTTCACCTTCCAGGCCCTCTCCAGTTCTTCCCTGAGGCCCTGGTATTTCTCCAGTTTCTCGTGCTCCTTTTTCCTGATGTTGCAATCACTTGGTATTGCTACATCTACCACAACGGCTTTCCTCTGATGTTATCCACTACGACAATGTCTGGTTGGTTCGCCATTACCATTTTGTCTGTCTGGATCTGGAAGTCCCACAGATCTTAGCTCTGGCGTTCTCCACCACCTTTGGGGGTGTTTCCCACTTTGATCTCGGGGTTTCCAGTCCATATTCTGCACAGATGTTTCTGTACACTATGCCTGCCACTTGGTTATGTCGCTCCATGTACGCTTTCCCTGCCAGTATCTTGCACCCTGCTGTGATGTGCTGGACTGTCTCAGGGGCCTCCTTGCACAACCTACACCTTGGGTCTTGTCTGGTGTGGTAGATCTGGGCCTCTATTGCTCTGGTGTTTAGGGCCTGTTCCTGGGCGGCCAGGATGAGGGCCTCTGTGCTGTCCTTGAGTCCAGCTTTTTCCAGCCATTGGTAGGATTTACTGATATCAGCCACTTGGGTTATTTGCTGGTGGTACATCCCATGTAGGGGCTTGTCCTCCCATGATGGTATCTCTGGCACCTCAACCTCCGTTCCCTGTTGTCTGAGACATTCACTGAGCACATTGTCTGTTGAGGCTTTGTCCCTGATGTATTTATGGATCTTAGTTGTTTCGTCCTGGACAGTGGTTCTCACACTCACTAGTCCTCTGCCTCCGTCCTTGCGGCTCATGTACAGTCTCAGGGTGCTGGATTTGGGATGGAACCCTCCATGCATGGTTAGTAGCTTTCTAGTCTTAATATCTGTGGCTTTTAGAAAAATACCATGAGCTCAAGGCAGCTTTGGGGAGGAAACAGTCTTTTTTGAAAAGACCAACAAAAAGTCCCAAAAGCAGCGGAAGCCTCGTTTAGAGCTACACATTTTCTGATAAAGAAGAAGAAGGCATTTTCAGAGGAGAAGTTGTCAAAGAAGCAATGATTATTACTGCTATCAGCCTCAGGAGATGATTGAGGACGAAGAGATGCTGATTTCTGCTTCTTTCGGTTCTGCGGTTCCATTCAGTCTGTTACACAACAGCAAACTACGCCACGACGGACAGATTGATGTTCACAGTATCCATCCTCACGGAAATTGTTCAGCTTAAAATGCGCGTCTTTTCACTCACCTCTGTATTTTTGAAAGCGTTTTTTCTTCTACGGACATGAAATCAGGTAGAGGACGTTTTAAAAAGACGCGGGTTGATAGCAGCTCACAGCGGCTGCGTAGTATCCGACTCTAGGCAACCGTGACTTTCAGCGTCGGTCCGTAAGGCAAGGCAAGGCAACTTTATTTATAGCTATAGCACCTTTCAGCCAAAGACAATTCAAAGTGCTTGTACAAGAAAATAAGGACTACATACTGTTAGAAGATGAAAAAAATTTTTTAAATAAAAACTAATAATAAAAAAAAGAGTTCAGGGGTCCTTCAGCTCCCGCCACGACAGTGTAGCTGAGCTTAATATTTCCCGTGTTATTTTGGCCATTATTGTCAAACTTAGTGTTGATGTTTATTATAGGCTTGTCTATCGGACAGTTATGTATCGGTTCAATACGGGACGCACATTTAACGGCCAAACATGGGATCACTCCGTATTTTACGGGATGGGTGGCAATCCTATTCAGGGGTGCTGAGAAACTGGGCTAGATACGCCACTGATTGGTATCCTTCAGTTTTTTTGTTTTTTCTTTAGATTTGTCTCGTATAACACAACTTTATGAAAGCATTAGGTCATCAGCAGGACCCTCTAGAATTCCATGGCACGTTAGTGGGAGGTGTGCGGTGCGGGGTCCAGGAGTACACAGAAATTTCTCATATGGAGAGACCCTCTCCACATGTGTAATAATGTAATAATGGAAAGGGCAGGGTTATAGGTTTTAGATCCGAAAACCTTTGAAAATCAGCTTAGCATAATTTATACTTCCGGAAATTCAATCAGTAAAATATTTGTCTGCTACAATTTAATTTTCTAGATCGAAAATAGTTATGGTTTTCCTATTATTTCTACGATTCTGATCAGCACAGGAAGTGCTTCAACATTTCTCTAATGTGATTGGTCGACGCTCGTATTGTATGTACGTCTGCATGTTCCCCACCAATCACTGACCAGCTTCCCCGCATCGTCACCGCCCTCTGAAGGCGCAATTTAGTCCCGAATAACGGAAAAGCGCTTAGAATTTTTTTGACCGTTCGGTACTAACTCGTTTCGATAGGTCTTTGTTCGGTTCGGTGTCGGTGAGCTGCCACTCTGCGGTCTGCCATGTCTCCTTCGCGGGTCTGAGCAGACACTGGAAGCGGACAAAGGGAAATGCATCTCCGGAGCGCTGAACCTGTTCCGTCTCGCCCAGCACAAAGCCTGTGAAGCAGGCCGTGTTTCTCCTCGCAGCCACAGGCAGATGATGCTCAAACATGTCGGGGAATCATTTCAAAGGCCACGAAGTCAGTTGCTGCATCAAATACTTCATTTTTGGCTTCAACATCCTTTTCTGGGTGAGAACCATTCATTGTCATTATTATCCTCTGTTCCAGCAGGAGAGTTGGGAGTTATTGTGTAAATCAGGGAGGGAGCCCGGATCGTCTTCACTTTATGGCTCTTTTTTAATTTCAGTTTCCACTCATATCGTTGCCTTGTTATTGCTGTGGCCTTCTTCGGGTGCTGCTTCCGGACAGAAGCAGCTGTTCTTGCACACACGCAGCTAATCGGCTTTTTGTGATAATGATAGCTGAACGCTGAGACAGAGAACACAGCTGAATAAACCCGCAGCACTGTCAATGTTCACCCCGCACACCGCTGCGCACTGCTCCTCAGCGACCTTCAGCATAGCCCAGGGGCGCTGCTAAGGATCCTGAAACACCGGGGGCTTAGCCCACCCCTCCCGGAGTTCAGCAGAGGCATCATTGGATGATAAAATAATCTGGAATATGTTGTGCCAGTTGGGTTTAAAGTGGGGGTTTTGGTAACTGTAGATATTAAAAATAACTTTTTAATTGGAATGTGCTCTCAAAACCTACTGCATTAAGTACACCTGGCCAACAAATTGTGCCCTTCATGTAAAAATAAATTTCTGAAGTTTAAACTGAGCATCAGAATAAAAATGAGGAGGGTTAAAGTGACACATCTTTAGTACCCATTAAGGAGCAGATTCCTTGATCTCAGAAAATATTCAGACTCTGGCTTCCTCAGACAGTCCAAACACATGACTGTCCGCTTAAATGGTCTCTCTAAATTCTCCTGGGTGTGAGTGCGTGTGCATGCATGGTTGTTTGTCCTGGTTCTCTCTGTACCCTGAAACAGACTGGCAACCTGTCCAGGGTACACCCTGCATCTCGCCCGAAACGTTCGCTGGAGATAAGCATCAGTGCCCATCCTGACCCCATAAGGGACAAGGTTGTAAAGAAAATGGGTAGATGGATTTTACTTTTGGATGGGTATTATGATTCATAATCATGGACAAAAAAAGTACAACTGGGACCAGCATCACCTGAACTATAACCACAATTCCCAGAGGAGATGAAAAGGAGAATCATGGATGCAGAACAGAGAGGAGGAAGAAGTTCAAAGCATCATCATAATCATAATCATAATCTACTTCCAATGTCTACATACCCAGGTTTCTGGGTATGGCCACAGATTTGAAGAGGGGGGGCAAAAAAGCAAATGAGATGGATTAACAGTGTGTCTCCCAGGACATGTCCTTTCTGCTGCCTGGAAGTTGAGCTGTTAACATGCCATACAGTCAGGAGACTGACACACAGCTTAACCTGTGACAGGAAACAATAAAACAGTTAATTACATGTTAAATGTTAAGCCTCACCTGCAGCCTTGCCAGGCTGGAGTCTCACCAACTGTCTTCTAACATCTTCAGCAGAGATGTTTCCTGTAGAGATAGAGGTGGCTGCCTGAGGGATGGGGGCTGGTCACTGAGTATAAGAGGAGGGAAGTAGATGAGAAGGTGAGATGAAGGTCTCTGAGGAGAGGGAGGGGAGAGTTGTTGGACAGCAGCAGTGGTATTGAGGGGAATGTGAGCAGGAGGTGCAGGGGCCACAGTGTCAAATCTGTTGAAAAACAGGTTGAGTTCATTGGCTCTATCAACATTGCCCTCATCCACTCCACAGCCTGCTGATCTGAACTCAATGATAGTTCCCATCCCTATCCAGACCTTGCTGGTGTTTTTCTGCTGGAGGTTCCTCTCCTCCTAGATTCCCTTCCTCTTCCTTAGCTCTTCTGATCTTCAACTTCAAGCACCTCTGAATTACTCTCACGTCATCCCTGTTGCCATTTCTGAAAGCCCTCTTCTTCTGGATGGTCTAGATCTCCTTTTTTTACCCAGGGCTTGTTATTTGGGTAACAAAAAACAGTCTCGGAAGGGATGATGGAGTTAATTCAGAAGTTAATATAATGTGTTATGAAGTGAACTCATTGATATCCTCCATATTCGGCTCACAGAGTGCCTGCCAGTCAGTGGCCTCAAAACATCCCTGTAGTGTCTCAGTGACCTCCTTTGACCATGTGGCCAAGTTGTTGCGGTCTCCAGAGTAAAAGAAAGTATCTCGACATCGAAGAAAAAGATAATGACTTTCTTAGTCAACATTGTCTTCTGGTAAAGTACAAAAGAAGAATTAGTGTTGTAAAATAAAATAATAAAAAAAATATTTAAAAAGAGAAACAACGAGGAGTAACTGCAAAAGGCTGCATACACATGCATGTATTCTATCAGGATGATATGGGATGATACCATTATGTGGAAACAAAAGAGGCCAGACAGTGATGAAGAGAAGAGTGTGTCACAAACCCCATCATCAGAAATGACACCTGTAAGAGAAGCAGCATCTGGCTGAAGAGTAAACATATTATGAAACCATTAATTATTATGGGCAGTGGTGGCTTGTGATGGACCGAGCAGTGAAAAGAGAGCCAGGCACAGGTTTAAATTGAAAAAGAATTGTTTTTTATTTAACCCAAAACAAAAACTTGGGTAAATAATGAAAAATGACAAAGTTTGGCCCATAAAAGAGGTCAAAGTTATACCATTCAACTCAGACTGACTCAAACAAACAGACCTACCTAAATGAGACAAAGGGGAAGCTTAAATACTGACTGATAAGGCCACATAGGCACACTGGGAAGAACGCACAAAAACCTAACTGAAGTTAACAAGAAAATGCCATTCCTCCCTTCTTTTTTTAATTTTTTTAAATAAGTATATTTCAATGTTTTTGACAAATGAACAAATACAATACAAGAACAAAATAACAATCCAGCTCTTATAATTACATACAAAACTATACACACATTCCTCCCTTCTTGATGATGAGTTGTCGTATGAACCAATTTGCTGTCTCAGGCTTGCTACACCCCTTCTCCACCTCTTGTTAACCTGAAGGACTGGAGCAGCTGACACTGAGGTAACTCAAAACAACAAAGGTTAAATCAAGCAAAACACAACAGTGAAAAATAAAATGTGCACACTTATTCCAGAATACAGTGTTATGTTACATTCTAAACAAAAACAGTTATTCTGCTAATGAAATCCTAGACTTAAAGAAACAAAATATAAGTGTGGTGAGAATGACTAACCTCTTGTGTATAGTGAGATTAAATGTTGCCACATTTGTATGGCTGTACATACAGCCATCACACATGCTGGGACAGCGAGAGAGACATTCTGCAATGCAGTTGTCCTGGCCGGGGATATGGTGGATGGTGAATTGAAATGACTGCCAGTGCGTGTGATCCTTCTATTTGTATCTTTCATCGTTTCTATCGATTGCAGAGCTTTATGGTCAGTTTCTAAGGTGAACTCTCTTTCAAGAAGGTAGTACTGGAAGGAATCCAGAGCCCATTTGATGGCCAGCGCCTGTTTTTCAATGGTTGAGTATTGTACTTCCCTTGTAAACAGCTTAAGGCTAATAAATGCCACTGGATGGCGCTCTCCAGGTGGTCCTTGTAACAGAACAGCTCCCAAACCTCTTTCAGAGGCATCAGTCTGTAGAATAAAATGTCTCTCAAAATCAGGCTGTGCAAGACTGGACTCTTACTGAGAGATTGCCGCAGGTCCTGAAAAGCTGTTTTGGCCTCCTCCGTCCAGATTACCTTGTTGGGGCTTTGGGAACCAGTGAGGTTTGTTAATAGAGCAGTCCTGGCTGAGAAATGATGGACAAAACGATGACAGAATCCTGCCATACCCAAAAAGGATCTTAACCATTTTCTCGTCTCAGGCAGAGGACAGGACTCTATAGTTGTAATTGTATTTATTTGAGGCTTTATCACTCCATTTTCTATCACAAACCCAAGGTACTCAGTTTCAGGCTTGGCAATTGCAAACTTGGCTGGATTAATAGTCAACCCCACAGATTGGAGGTGCTCCAACTCCTTCTCCAGATGTTTCAGGTGGTCTTGCCTTGGTAAAACTGGAAATTACTATGTCATCAAGGTAGGCTGCAGCAATTTGACATGTCAGACACTACCTGATCCATCAATCTCTAGAATGTTGCCGGGGCACCATGCAACCCAAGTGGCATGACTTTGAAGTGGAAAAGGCCTCATGTTGTCCGGAAAGTAGTCAGTTCTTTTGAACTTTCCGTCAGGGGTACCTGCCATTAACCCTTGCAGAGATCTATGGTTGTTAAGTATCTGGCCTTCCCAAGCCGCTCAATCATGTCATCAATGCGGGGAGATGAATATAAATTCAATTGTGTTATTGCATTCAGATACCTGAAGTCAATGCAGAAATGTATACTGCTGTCCTTCTTTGGGACCAGGACCACTGGGTGGCACCACTCACTCCTTGATGGTTCAGTGATTCCAAGTGACATCAGATTGACTTCCTCTTTCAGTGAAACCAACAGACGCTCAGGTATTCTGTAGCTCAGTCTTCTCACAGAAGCTCCATTTTTAAATACAATGTCATGTGTCGGACAATGTCTGTTTTTACCAGGACTTCTTTGGAACATGTTTGAGTTACAGAGATTTCTCACCTGAGCCTGCTTTTCTTCAGAGAGGTGGTCCAGATCCAGAAACTGAGGTGAGGGTTTTGGCAGGTACTGGTTTTCATCTTCCTCCTCCTCTGAAACCTCCTGAATAAGAAAAACATCTGCTTTTGGTCTCTCCGACCATTCTTTAAGCAGGTTGACATGGAATACTCTGGTGGAGCGGGGCTGATCTGGAATGGCAATCTTGTAAGTTGTTTGGTCCAGTTGGCTGTGGATTTCATACGGGCCTTGCCATTTGCTAACAGCTTCCTGTCAGCTCTTGGAAGAAACACCAACACTTTCTGGCCAGACTGAAAGACCTCTGGCGAGCTAACTGGTCATACCAGGCTTTCTGATGTTTCTATGCTTCTTCCTTGTGAGCTTGGGCCAATGCTGTCATCCTTTCCAGTCGAGACAGGTCATCTGTCTGAGGATGATACGGAGTTGTCTTCAGGTGTACCCAAGGAGTTGGTACACCTGCTTCAACAAAGTGGACAGAAAGTTGGTTCCACAGTCAGTGAGATTTTCAGTAAGAAACTCAACCCATGAGAAGAGCTCGATGATACAGAAGGCAACTGCTTTAGCTTTTATTGATTTTAAAGGAAAGCTCTCTGGATATTTTGTGGCATAATCCAGGATCACATTGCCAGATTTATGTTTTTCTAGAGGACTTACAATGACTATTCCCAGCCGTTCAAACAGGGTGTTGATGATTAGCAAAGACTGAAGAAGAGCTCTGGAAGGGATTTTTAAAGATGACTTTTGGTAATGAGGGCAGCTTTTGCAGAACAGAGTCATATCAGATCAAATTACAGGCCAGTGAAAATATTTTCTGATGCAGGCAATTGTCTTGTGCTTTCCAAGATGGCCAGCCCATGAAATGGAATGCCCCTAGAACAACACCATCTTCTGGACTGGTCTAAGAATCACCAACTGCAATGCTTTTGGTGGTTACAGGATAATACAAGATGACATCTTTCAGCAAAACCTAATCCAGGCTGTTTAAACCTTGTTCAGCATGTTGGTTTCTCTCTGCTTTCTGCAATAAAGATGTTAGAGCTGGATCACTGTGTTGCATTTATATGATGTTAGCAGGGAATTTTAAACCCCAAAGGTAACTCAGGCTCAGAGATAGAAGATGATTTCTCAGCAGTGTCGAAATTTCTCTTGCTGTCGCTGCCTGCGGGACTTGGAAGACTTCTGGTGTGGTCTCCAGGTCCGCATCATAAAAAGACAAGGCGCAGAATGGTTGCAGAAACTCCTCTCTTTCTAGCTTGAGATCTGGTTAATGCAATGTTGGACATATTGCTGGAGTTCAACAAGTCACCCTAACACAGGCAGATCTTCACCTAGCACTGCTGGAAATGGCAGATTCTCAGCCACATCAATATTTAGAAAATAAAGTTGGCCTTGTACTTAAATATACAGGTCTGCTGTTGGATATGACAACTCATCTCCATAAATGTTGCAGACAATTACTGTTTCCACATTAACTTTCTTTACTGAAACAAAGTCTCTGCACCAGAGTTTCAATTCTTCTGAATCAATGAGAGCCTTTAACTGTTTACCTTCAACTTCAGTTGAGGTCAGTCTTAAAACAAACGCCACTTTAGAGTCCATGGTTTATCTGGGCACATTTGTGTCATCTTTGTAGAGTTCTTTGGGCACATTGGCTTTTTGTGTCCCTCCATCCCACACAGATCACAAATCTCTGTCTTTGCTGGGCTCTTGATGGCACATTCAATGACTGGATCTTTAGAGGTTTACTCACCCCTGGCTTTTGGTAGTGGAGAACAAGTTTTGAAACCTCCCTCATTTTCCATGCTGTTTGACTCCCTGGCTGTCCTTTTCTCTGTGCGGCCACAAACACGTAGGCCAACTGTGCAGCTTCTGCAGCCGACTTTGGGTTATGTTCTTTAATCCATACCTGCAACTCAGGAGACAGCATTCTCCTGAGTAAAGTCTAATAACTTTAGAACTTTGTTCTAAAGTTATTATTTCACTGACCTTATGCACAACAGATGAAAAACTCAGGCTACAGAAAGTGTACAAAAATAAAAACTTTCTGTACACTCTTTCAATTTTGCATACAGTTCTTTTGGATTCTCACCATGTTTCACTTCCAGTGATCACATACGCAATATGTACATCTCAGGATTGATGTTGTATTTTTGAAGAACGGCTTCTTTAACTTTATCATACTCCAGAGAATCATCCATGTCCATATGATCTCTTGCTTTGCCTGTGAGTAGTGGAATCAGATGAAAAACCCAATCTGCTTTTGTCCACTAGCAAACTAGAGCCATGCATTCAAATGTCAGAAAATGTTCAATATCATCCTCATCTGTCAGTTGTTCAAGTCTGGATTCATGAAAGTGAAACTGACCTGAGGGAGCATGCATTTACTCATTTACTCATGTAGCACATTTAAAAACAGCAAAAGTTGATTGAAGTCACAATCATAAATCATAAAGTAGCAAATAGAATACAACACAACATTGGGATTTCTTAGAAATATTTAGCATCTCTTACACAGTCAGTCACATGCCAGAGAAAAGAGATGATATGGTCATATGGTGTGAGTGGTGTGAGCAGGTAGAGGTTAGCTGGTCCACAGTGTTGGACCTTCCAGTAGGGTAACAACCCTGAACATCCAACCGGAGATGCAATAAAATGACTTTCATTGCATCATATTCATAGCATAGAGTTATGATTGTCTTGTCAAAATTCAGACCTTAAATCAGCTGAGACTTTGTAGCAAGACTAAAAAGAGATGTTCACAGATGCTACTGTTGGTCTGTTTCAATTTAGTCACTTTATCACAACTGACTAAATTGTGATAAAGTGCAAAAAGGTTTAGGGAGTGTGAATACCATTCACTGCTGATAATGTTAAAGAAATGCCATCTAGTACGGACTGAGGGAAAGGAAAGAAAGACAAATGGATCAGTATTTTTCCAGAACAACATTGTGTCTTTATGCATCTGTACACTCTCCCAGTAATAAGATGTGACTGGTGTTTTGCAGCTGCTGGGCATGGCCTTAGTAGGGATTGGACTGTGGGCATGGAGTGAGAAGGTGAGCACACTATTATTTTTTTAATTGAAACTGCAAACAAAATAATTTTAGAGTGGTGCTTTCTCTATGTGCCAGTACCGTCATTCCTGGCTATTTCTTGTCACTTTGACTATTTGCCAAACACTCAAATCTTGTGTGTTGTCCTGTCCTCTCCAGGGGGTCCTATCCAACATCTCGTCCATCACCGACCTGGGGGGCCTTGACCCTGTGTGGCTCTTCATGGTGGTTGGAGGGGTTATGTTCATTCTGGGCTTTGCCGGCTGCATTGGAGCTCTTCGGGAAAATACATTTTTGCTTAAGTTTGTATGTTCTACTCTGCAAGCACTATGAATAAACACTGAAAAAAGGTTGCTTCCTGTTTCTGACTTTACTTCTATTCATGATTCTTCTCCTGTTCTAGTTCTCTGTGTTTCTGGGAATCATCTTTTTCCTGGAGTTGACAACAGGAGTTCTGGCCTTTGTTTTTAAGGACTGGATTAAGGACCAACTCAACCTCTTCATCAACAACAACATTCGGGCATATAGGGACGACATCGACCTACAGAACCTCATCGATTTCACTCAGGAATATGTGAGTCACGGGATACCTAGTAAATGTGATGAGGCATGGCTGTGGCATACATCTGCTTTAGTCTCCTTTCTTCAAATCGTCCAGCAGTCTCTGCATCGCAGATTAACAGGAATGATGCATAAAGAGTTTTAAAAATCTATATGGACCTGAAGCCAAACTATTCATTTACTGTGTTTTTGATTCTAACTGCACTGTAATACAACTAACCAGAGGAATCAGGTAGTCATTGGCAATGGATGATTTTCATCTTGGTCAGCCCTGACCAATGTCCATCAGTTTGCATCCATAATCCCCCTCTCCATTGTCAAGTCTCACTCTAGCTTGTGCCAGTTAGTCAAAACATTTTTGCCTGAATACCAGAAGGAAGGTAAGGTCCTTTATTTCATCTCAGCAAAGAATTGGGGAAATTTTTCAAGAGTGCAGATAGAGGGCCAGCATAATGTAGCATGAGATTAAGTGGTGTAATTATCAGGTCATTACTGCAGATTTAAGTAACACTTATTGTATTACCACGTTTTTATGTTCAGTCAGCAGAATTTTTGTGAGGTCTAAAGAAGCTGGAGATCAAATTGTGCCAGTACCATCATTCCTAGCTACTGTTTTAGATGGAGTGGATTGTTTTTACTTACTGATTCTGGAATTCCATTACAGAAAACACTCTATGACTCAAGGAAGACTTAAACCCACATAGATGCCAGTAAAGGATATAGGACCTGACAGTATGTCAGGAGTCCCTGAAGTGTTTCTCTTCTCTGTCTGACTGCAGTGGGAGTGCTGTGGCGCATTCGGAGCGGACGACTGGAACCTGAACATTTACTTTAATTGCACTGATGGAAATCCCAGTCGGGAAAAATGTGGGGTTCCCTTCTCCTGCTGCACCAAGGACCCTGCGGTACCGTTAGCCTCTTTCTCTTGATGTCACAGTACAGAATATATTGCACCACAAATGACTTAGATTCAATTCACATGGTTCCTGTATGATGGCTTTCAAATCTTTTAGAGATAATTTCTTTTTGTCTCTAGGAGGATGTGATAAACACTCAGTGTGGCTATGACATCAGAGCAAAACCAGTAAGTTAGCTAGTTCGGCTAAAGTTCAGACTGTAACCCTTGTCCTCAGTGGAATGTTTAAGGTCTTCTTAACATTGATGAGTGACTAACAGATACTGTGACTGTGTAAACCCACATGATTTGCAATGTGCCCATACAGGACTCGGAGCAGAAGGACTACATCAATGTGAAAGGCTGCGTTCCTCAGTTTGAGAGGTGGCTCCAGGATAACCTCACCTTGGTGGCTGGGATCTTCATTGGAGTGGCATTATTGCAGGTCAGTTCTAGTCCTGTTTTATTATTAAAGAAAGAGTGAAACTAAAGTATTTCTCCCTTTATGAAATATGTCTGGTTTTCTTTTCTTAACAGATTTTTGGGATTTGCTTGGCCCAGAACTTAGTGAGTGATATCGAGGCAGTGAGGGCGAGCTGGTGAGACACCATCGACCTTTTGTCTACTCTTAGTTCTCATGAGCTCTCATGATCATTCCTAACAATCTCAGACAATCTCAGAAAATTTACATGTACTACTTATGCTCATGGGTGTCATTCATAATTCAGTAGTGATGCATATGACATGGAAGTCAAGTTCATAATTAGGTGATACAAAGTAATAATTTAAACTTTCAAAATCAATTATGAGATTCCTGGCCATAATTTTGATTTGGAATCTTATAATTATGACATTGAAAGTAAGAATTTTAAGAGACAAAGTCATACATGAGATTGTGGGCTCCTATAGGTACCTCGACTCTGTGTTTGATGTAAGCACAGATCTGATTGCCAAGAGGGACTAAACAGAGGTCATATTGTTTTTAAGGTTATCAAAAATGATAAGACAGATCAGAGTTATGAGGAAATACAGTTATTTGTTCACACTCCAGTCCATATGTCAACACTAGGTCCAGAGTAGAAATACAATAGTGGGTTTGGGTCATATGGTTGGAATAGCTGTGTTCTCTTGAGCCTGTTTTGCACTGCACAGCCAGAACCGGGCCGACCCGAACCTGTCTGGCTTCATAGCCTAGCCCAGTGTTTTTGCGTTTATACTTTCAGCCCAGTCCCGCCCACAGAGATGTGGCTCTAATTGGGTCGGCCAGACGGGGGTGTTTGGAGTCAGCAGTTGATGGGTGCATTGGCTGCGGAGTGAACGTAGACAAGTCGTCTTCCAGGTCCTTGGGTCAGAGGAGTTTATTTAGTGTTTAGATTTTATCAATGTTTGTTGTTGTGACATCAAAAAATTCCCCATCATAATCTATTCTTCCCGTTAAGTTTTTAATTGATAATGACATATTTAATTGCACATATTTTCTTTTGCTTAAAATAATATCTACAAGTGAAACCCATCACACATCAAGCAGATAAATATGTGCAATTTTTTCCCACAGTGAAAAAGAAATTTAAAAAACATCCACTGTCTGTGGTCCCACTAACTGCAGATGAATAATGAAATTAAACCAGAACATTTCTGAAGAAATTTAAACAAGATCTGCCAAACCGTGATAGTCGGTTGGAACCCAGCGTTCTGCATCGATACTAAAGTAAACTACAATGTACTCAATAGCATGTTGAAAGTCACAAGTATGTTGAGTAACATGGACTTACTCCATTCAGTATATTAAAATTAGTGTATAAGCCAAAATTAGCCTAAATGCTCCCAGTGGTGTGTGGAGTATAATTAGCTTGTTGTCTTACATCGACTTTCTCCTTTCAATGTGCTAAACATAGCTAATAAATAAACAAAATAGCTAAAAAGCTTATTTTAGGAAAAAGGCTTCTGGTAATGTAGACTGTATCTATATTAGCAATGTTTGTGCTAATGTCAATGCAGTCTGATTTTTATTTAGATGTTTAGTTCGTGGCACTTGATTACCAAAATACACGTTCATCTCTTAGCCACACATTAACAATAAATATTATTTTTCTTAAAAAACATAGTATTACTTATGTTCTTTTGAAATACTACTTATCTTATCCTACTTAACAAGAATTGTGCAGTTGGTGAATTTTTCAGAAAAGTGGAAGTGTTTTTTTTTTTGTTGTCATTAGTGGTTAATATATTATAAAACAAATTCAACACAGTAGTACAAATCTGATTTATACTTCATGGCAGTTCGTTACCAGAAACAAAACGCTCATCTCGAAACACCAAATTAATTATTATCTAAAACATAAGATCTTTTGAAATACTGGTTATCTGCTTACACACAAGAAATTTATACTTGGTAAATTTTGCAAAATTAAAAATCAGATGTTTACTTTGTGGCACTTCATGGTCATCTCTTAGCAAAAGATTAATAACACAATGTTATTTGGATAAATATTTGAGGCAAATGTTTCCCTCAGCTTCCTCACTGACCAGGGACGTACAGAAGCAGCTGGGTGGAACAACCAAGAACGAAACTGTTCCTCAGGCTCTGTGGAGATTGCTTCAGCAGCTTTAGGAAGAATTTGATTGACATGCCGGCCCCCGCCCTCTTGTTCCTCTGTTTAATGCAAAACGACCAGGGTTGGAGTACAATAAGACTGGGCTGGAGGAGGCCAGGTTGGGATCTGCAGTGCAAAAAGACCTTTGGACAAAGACAGAGACATAAGCCACAAAAAGTAGTTTTACTCTTAAAAAGATATTATAGCTGTTTGTCCCTTAGTGTGAGGAAATAAAGAGTGAAGGTTTATTGTATCTTTGGAATGCAATGCCAAAACTCATCCATCATTCTTCCTCCTTCATGCTTCATCAGGGTGCCCCCCCCTCTGTCCATGCATCGACCCCCACCGTACTCTTGCAAGAAATCATCGGCTTACTACTCATGAGACAGGCACGCACAGAATGTATGTGTTTAGGCCTGTCACGATAACAAATTTTGCTGAACGATTGTCTCAAAATTTATTCTGATAAACGATAATATTGTTTGAAAACCATTTTAAACCAATGTAATGGTAATAATGCAATCACATCTTGCCAAAAATAAATACTCTATTTTCAAAAGAACGTTTAAGACTGAAACAGGTGAAAAGAATAACCAAAAACCAAAATAAAAATGAACTCTCAGTCTCCATTAACAAAAAAATTACTTGAAAACTAAGCATAACGTAAAACCAAAGTGGAAATTGAAACTACATTCAATCAAAAGAGTACAGAATACAAAGTCTGTATACTATATTGCCCTTCAATAACCTCTAGAGTTAGATAGAGAAGTTGCCTCCCTTAAGCCCAGTTCACACTCCACAAGATTTTGCCCCGATTTTCCCCTTACAACAATCTTACAATGTCCACGTTCAACTTCACTATCAACCAGCATTTATTCAAACAATCAAATGCATAAAATCACACCTACAGCTCAACATGGTCATCAGAAACCAATGCCAGAAAGGAAACATTAATTACCTGAGAAAAAATGCAAAATACGAAGACGCGTCTTTGGAAAGCGCTGTGTGTGGCAGTTATCTGGCTAGCTGTTTTAGCAATTACTTTTATATCAAGGTGCGTTCTTTACTGTCTTATGCATTCTAACGTACCGTTTAGCGGTGGTCTCAAACAGCCCATAATGATGTGTTGCTGTTTTGCACGCTACAGACCATGCAGGTGTTATCAAGGGCAAGGGATGAGTTCATCGCTTTCTTAGATGTCCTCTCTCTGTACTTTCCCTGTGTACAAACAATACATGTGTTCATTTCATACAGAAACATTTTACTCAAGAAAGTGGGACCAAAGTTTTATCAGCTTTCTGTGTTTCTTATTTCAAACTGCCTCAAACTGTTTCCTGAACCACACAGAGCTCTCCTGACCTCTCCTCTGACCCAGGACATCAAACAGCAGATTTTGATTACAAAAATGATCATGTTTCATATAATATCTTCAAACGCCTATAAAACAGACATGAGCAGTTTCAATACCAAAACATCTGCTACATTCAATATTTTCTGATTAGTTTTCAACTTCTTTGATTTATAATGAACCAAAACATTTTTCAGAGGAATACATGACTTATATGATCTAATGTAAAAAATTACTGATTAGACTAATTTTAATCAAATTGTGCTCATTATATTTAAGAAAAATGTTCTACTGATTAAGTTATATGTTGATTAAACTGAGTTTAAATCTAACCTAAATTGAGGCCTACTCAAACAATCACAATCACTTTAATATTTTAACATGCACTAAAGTTTAAACATCATTAAAACTGGCACAATTAAATTAATATTTCCAACAGCAGGAAGAAACGATAAAGCCGATAAATTAAAATGAGGTCAATAATTTTTATTTATTGTGTGATTAATTGATTTATTGTTTATCGTGACAGGCCTATGTGTATTTGTAGCTGGTGGTTTTGATGAGTATGATAGTTTGCTAAGCACCAATCTGTATATAACCTCTGTTTTAGTGTTGTGTCATACATGACCGCAATCGGGAACCCTGATCTCCTCGGGTGTTCATCCACCTGCACGGTAGAGAGGCACCAGGCTCTGTGGTTTGGTGGCCGATTTCTGAGCTCCTGTAAAGTTTTGACTTCCTGTTATCAGTTTTCAGCTGAAAAGCAGCATTTCTTTTTTGCTGCTTTTTGACATAATTGATTATAATTTTTAACGCTAGGCTAAAAACTAAGTTGTATACTGAGCCGTTAGTATTCAACAAAAAATAAATGCAACACAATTTGTATAAATACAATGTGTTAAATTTATGGTCAGATGACAGTAAAAAATGTTAAGTGTTGTTTTAAAGTAAAAAAATGTATATATATTTTGCAATACTTTGACAAAAATAAGCCGATTTGCTAATCTTTGTTAAACTATGCTAACATTTGTTAGATATGAAAAAATGGAGGCCTGTTGTGGTGATGTTGCTGAATAACAAGGATCATACAGTGACAGCCATGGGTGACCTTTATGAGTTGAGTTCAGAAATAAATGTGTGCTGCTCTGCTCCCTCTGAGCCGCAATTTGGGTGGCTTGCACTGAAAAGTCTTGGAGTCATATGACTTGAAGAGTTCTCAGCTTGTCTGTGGCCCATTGTTCCACAGCCCACCCTGAATGCTCTCTGTGACCAAAGTTAGACTTAAATCTAATTTTCTCCTGTTCTTTAGTATCTGTATACTAATAGTTGCACACAGGAGTGATGGTGGTGAAAATATCTTATTACATTGTTAACCAGCTCTTTTGTTCTCTTCTAGCTTCTTTACCTAATGCTGGCGGAACTCTTCTCTAACAGGTAATCTTTACATTTGCTGAAATTTAACTTCAGCAGTGATGGGCACAGCTGACTTAAAAGTTAGCTCACCTAACTGTAAAGCACTAATCATAACGTTACTTATACGAACGCTAAAGAGCTTCAGTATATCAATATGCTATTTAGTAAACGCTAATTCTAGAGTGCTAACTACAACCAAAATGAAATCCACAACTTTGCGCTCCAACATAAAATAATAAAATTATTCCAAACCGACCTGTGCAGTTTTACGGCGCCCCCTAGGGGACCTGGGGAATTTTCTTCGTTTGCGTTCCCTCGTAATACTGCACTGATCAGATATGCACAATAATTGAATACTGTAAGCCTTTCTTCCGGTGGCCGCCGTACTTTCTGCTTTAATAAAAGGTTATGTGAGGTTTTACCATGAATGTTAAAATCTCTTTGTGAAACATCTCAAGTTTTATAACTTATTTAGGATAGAATCGCGGCGTAATTTTGATTGTGTCTGTTGTGTTCGTAGTCTGAATGGTTGAAAGGGCCGTTTTCATGTTCAGCTCCATCTCAACCTTAACAAGCATAAACGTGCAGTTAATAAAACTTTCAATCTGTTTTTTCCACCAAAGACTTAATAATAATAAACACGTTTTATTATCATAAAACAAGACAAACTTGTTGGTAATGATGGTAAAGTGAACTCGGGAAATCTCATGTATATCAATCAACTGCAATCCATTTCTTTATTCTGTCACAATTATCGATTTGTGCCATTTTGATCATCATGCTCCAAACTTTGCAAGGACTGACCTCCCCGCTCACCGCTTCCTCACACACAAAGCCAGTAACCTTCAGTTCATACTTGGTGATGTCACATCGACACACCCACCACCATGTCAAAGCCGTGTGCTGCTGTCATATCAATAATTACTTATTTCATTCAGATGGCTCTTATGGAGCTTCAGTGAAAATGTTTTATTCTTATTAACTCTTTAGTGCAAAACATTGATTGAAAATAGATTTATTTACTGCATGTTTTTAAGATGGAATGGCACTGAAAGCAGCACTTTAAACTATTTAGACAACCAGCACAAAAAACACACAATCAAACTGTCAGATGACTGATTATACCGCAATAATAACTCAGAAATAGTCCAAATTAGGATGTGCCTTTATTTATTTACTACTTATGGAATGTTTCTATTTATATCACAGGGTTTTGGTGCCTTTCTATCCTAAAGAAAAATATATAAAATTTCAGAAAATTCACAAAGAGATTTTAACATTCATGGAAAAACCTCACGTAACCTTTTATTAAAGCAGAAAGTTCAGCGGCCATAAGAAAGGCTTTCAGTATTCTATAATGCTGCATAACTGATCAGTGCAGTATTGCGAGAGAACGTAAAGGTTTTGCGAGGGAACGCAAAAGGAAAAAATTCCTCATGTCCCCTCGGGGGTTCTGTACAGTTTGAGCTTCTGAATGTTTTTTCTTTGGAACAGACTTTCCACCCATAGTTCCAGTTTTATAGTTGTTCAGTACTGCTAACTTTGTTGCTGATTCTGCCTAATTAAGCTCTGTATGGCTTTGGTCAAAAAGCACACAGAACCTCTGAAGATTTTAAACTCTTTGTTTACTGCATCTTATGTATAGAATACACATAGGGTGTTTATTCCAAAAACATTAGTATTTGTTTTGGGATTGTTGTACAAAAATACACTTTAAGGATATGACAGACTTTTTTCTTTTTAATCAACTTAGTTGCCATAGGTGCAATGTTAAAAATGAGCTCGGCTGTTAGTGGCAGTGTGCCCATCACTGCACTTTAGGAATAAAACTGGGTCAAGCAGCTCACAGGATGTTTTGTCTCTTTGAATCAGCTTGAACGTGAAACGTACCCCCAGCCACCGGTACTGTCAGCAAGCACCGCCGGACAACACCCCCGATCTCCATGTCCGACACTCTACCAGCACTTTTTTTAAAGGAACTAAATATGTGAAAGGTTTTGTATACTATTACTGTATGACTACTGATGAGGACTTTTCAAAGATTGCACTTAGCACATTCTATCACATCCTACTGAAATAAACACTGGAGAAGTGCTGACTGACAGAAGGCCAAGACAAAGACTAAATAAGGAACTGAGATGACTGTTTAAGTACCACCATGTGTACTGAAGAGAACAGCTATCCTCACTGTATCCAGAGTGTTTTTTTATTGGTTAAGTCAATCTGGGTGGATATATTTCAGGTTTGTCCTTGAACACAGAAATAACATTGTTTTGCTATTCTGTTAATGTCACTGATAAAATACACTCACTGACCAAAACAATTTAATATTCAAGTTAAATCCCCTTGGGATACAAGTACAAACTGACCTGAACTCAACTGAAATTCCAGAAGGAATATAATCTTGTCCACATGCAGACCAGTGACAGATGTGCAAATGGCTTGATTTGCAATACACTTGCATGTTTAGAACAAGGTAGAGAGAGCAGAAGTATTACAAGTAGTTGCTGGAACATCCCACAGTTAAAACAGCAAGTGAATGTTAAAGTTTAAACTATGGAAACAGACAGCAGTTTAACTCACAGTTTAATTCAGGTTGCATTATCTAGTCTGCAAAGGGTCACAGGGAAATGACACTATGGTGAACACAGTAATGCATTTTACACCACTTTAAGAGCATCTCTATTCAGGGCCTTATCTTTTATACAGATATCTCTCATCAATCCTCTAAATCTGCATTGTCCCAGATGTCTGATGGTATCAGCCACTGCTGCCCTGAGGCTGATACCATGATATCATTGGCCCCCTGACACCACCAGCAGGCAAGATAAGTGAAGTGTGTTGCCCAAGAACACAATGAATAAGACAGATGGAGCAGGGGTACAAACTTGCAACCCACCAGTTACAGGATGAATCCCACGACTTTTACAACTGTTTTGTAGTTTTACTCAGATCTTCACCATAACATCAGGCTATAGGTCCCAGAGCAGGCCCAGCACTAACCCTTCTGCGGTTTTAAGAGATGGGGTCACTCATGCTGTTGAGACCTAGAGATTATGCTGCAAAAATATCAGACACAATCCATCCATTTTGTCTCAAAACACCCGCTTGTCTGTGTAAACCCAGATGGCGCTGGTGACTGTCTCCACCGGTCATTGGGTGAAAGACAGGGTATATCCTGGACAGGTTGTCAGTCCATCACAGGGCAACACAGAAACACACAACCACACACTATTTTGTCTGTAAGGATAATTTAGATAAAACACCTTACCTAATGTTCATGGAACTTTGGACAATTTTGGAAGCCATAGTACCCCAAGACAAGCCATGTAAACAGGGAAAAATTGCAAACTTTTAACTTGATCTAGGACCTTCTTTCTGTATCACACATCCTACACACAAAAAATGTATCCACAATACCAGTCTGAGGCACAAATGCTTTTCATCTACATTGTGCTGCAGTGGTTTGAAGTGATTCATTCATTCTGATGAACAGCTTTATTTGGAGTCTTGGTGGGTAAATTCACTTGCCTCTCCCTCCAGATCCCAACATAGAAGTGCTAAGGCTTGATGCACACTAACTGATGTGTGACTGTCATCTTGCCTTTACTGCATCTTTTATCATAAGGAGTAAAACTGAGTGACAATTGTTTTTTCCTGGCTAAGCTCGAGTTGCGTGTTTTCAGATGGAATGTGTATACTCACGTATATAAATAGGTTGAAATCCCACAATCTGAGTTCTCCCTCTTGTGAATACATAATTTTATGTTGTGCATATTTTCAGGCTTCATTTAGTCTACCTATTAATATAAATGGGGACTTGTCCAGATAGGGGTCTTGTACTCCCCTTCATGTTCTTAATTCCACATTGATTGGGGTGTAGAGAGGAAACATGTCTCTGGTTTCATTTATCTGGATAGAAGTGTACGCTGTGTTTCAGTTGGAAATTCAAGCAAGCCTTTGTACATGAGGCCCAGCTCCTCTGAGCACTAAAGAGCTTTTATCAATGATGTATACTATTAGGTATTACAACTTCCTTTTTAATTCACAGACCCTCAGCACCATGACTCAAACTACAGAGCCCTCTGGGCTTAGTAGTAGTTTTCCTTTTTAACTAAATTGATCGACAAATATCATTAAGTATCAGTAATTTTAAAGCAGTTTTTCCTTCTTTTCCTTTCCACAGGGAAACACAGAAACACACAACCACACACACTTTCTACATGCTATAGATTTAGAATTGACTAGGTGATCAATTCTAAATCTACAGCATAAAATAATCAATACTCCCAGGTCACTATGTTCTCTGCTGCTATAAGACCATATTTTTTACAGAATAGACATTCCTCCAGCATAATGAACAACCCAAACAGATCTATTCACAAGGAACCCATCTAGTTAATTTTAAATCAACAGAAAATGAATAAAAAATAATTCAATAACTGGGCTTTATTAGAAAAACCGCCTGCAACTGTTTAAAGAAGTTCAAATTAAAAAACCCCAAGGGAGTATAGTACACATGACCGGTTTCTTGATCAACTTTGGATGCCTAAAGGTTCTGGAAAACCCCATTAACCATTTCTTTAAAGAAAATTGTATGAAAATATGTTGAAGTCATCACTCAGAATGTATGTAGGTGTATAGCCCATCCTGATGAGAGCTAATGTTTTACCGAACAGCTTCAGTGAAGCTGAGAACTTTGGTGATCAGTTGTTTTTATATATCAGTGAAATGAGGATTTTCTGACTGTGCTCAGTGTTTTACATGACAGCATTTGTGAACTCAAATTAAAAAAGTGGTACTTTCATCCCATGATTCCTTCTCACTTTGTGTAATCTGACACAGAGCTCATGTACACAAGACTCTAAAAGATGTTTCTGTGGAGGTTTTCTATGTGTTTAAGATGGATTTCTGCTCTAAGCATGGATTTGTATCGAACTATAGTATTTTTTCAAGCGTTGGTCTTTGTTGTAATATTCAGAAAAATTGGAGCTACTGAAAGAGGGATGTTGTTTTTGATACTAAATATTTATTGTACATTTAATGTGGTTTTCAAACGGTATAAAACATGTAGTACCACTGAAGGGAACCTGTCACTTTTGTGAAAAACTGCTCACAATATCAACTGTAAATCCCACCTCCGTTTGTCATGTAACTACCTCCTCATGTGGTGTTAACATTGGAATCATTTTATTCTATAGTAAAATGAGCTGACTGAGAAATATGTTGAATGATGTGTTTGTTCACATTTGAAATGGCGGCTAACAAATGTGTTAAAGCATTTCACTTCCCACACATTGACCGTCAATGTTCCTGTAGCGACACTGCTGCATAGGCCTGTCACGATAACAGATTTTGCTGGGCGATAAATTGTCTCAAAAATTATTGCGATAAAAGATAATATTGTTTGAAGACCTTTTTACATTGATTTAATGGAAATTACATAATAATGCATGTGATTTCCTGCCAAAGATAGATACACTTTACTTTCAAAAGACACTTGACACTGGCACTGATACACAAAATAAATAAAACAACCAAAACTAAAATAGATTCTTAGTCTCCATTAACAATAAATGTACTTGAATAAAAACTAAACAACATGAAGCCAAAGTGGAAATAAACACTGCATTCACCAAAAGAGTGCAGATTATGAAGTCTGTATAGTATATTGGGCTTCAGTAATAATAGATTTAAATAGAGAAGAATCCGACTGAATGATGCAATAGTTCAAACTACAGGATTTTCTACCCAGAACGACAATCTGAGAACGTTCTTCGTTCTCAGATTGTCCCTTGTGTGTTACGGTAGATCGTTGTGGCCGCTCCGATCAAGGATTTATCCAGACTGGGAGAGTGACGCAGCCTGTTGAATGTGACCGGTAGCCAATCAGAAAGCGCGGATTCTCCTCCTGCTTTCTGAGGGGAAACACGGAGGGAATCCCGAACAGCTGACACGATGCAACCCGAAGTCCAGCAGACATCGGAAACAACATGAATGTTTATTCAACATTTCATGCAAAGAAAATATAAATAACTAGGGGAGGAGTTGGAGCGAAATTTCTACCAGAAAAAACTTTTCCGCTGTTCTTCGTTAACGTGACATAAATAGTTTATAATGATTTTCATTCAGTCAGACTGACACTAGCCGCATGCATTGCAGGAAGATTGTAGTAAGTAATTGATTAATGCCTGGTTTCAATATTAGTGAACTGGACTTATTATTTTGTGTCCATTGTTGGACACAACACGGTTCGATCGAACCGTTTTAGCTAGGATTTCTGTCGGCTAATGTCTCTCAGGTTTTGACAATCCGCGACATCAGATGGTGCAGCGCGCTGGGCATTACACTAAGGAAATAAGGAAGGAGGGTCAGTGGAGAGCACCGGAGTTGAGGCTTTTTTCATTCAGTGTCATCAACAGTAAGAGAAAAAGGCAGGAAGAAACGATATAGCCGATAATTGAAATGAGGTCGATAGTTTTAATTTATCGTGCGATTAATTGATTTATCGTTTATCGCGACAGGCCTACCAGTGCTGCAGTCTGTTAAATCCAGACATGTGCGGTTCAGATATATCTGTTCTAGAGGAGGTGGAACAACTGATGGATGCAAACATTTTTGCTGTTATCAGTTTAAAGAAAAAAAATCGAGTTTGATTCAGTTTTGCTCATGAGACGTATTGATACTGAAAAAATAAGATCCCAGATAGAAGCAAATGAGCGCTGTTGTTCACCAATGGAGGAAAAAAAAAAGAAAGTGAATAAACTTCCCAGCACTGGCTGACCTACCAGAAGTACTCCCAAGAACACAACAATTAGTCAGAAAAGAACTAGCCATTGTCAGTACTCGCAATCATTGGGCGAGAGGCCGGGTAGAACTTGGTCAGGTCGCTTGACCATCAAAGAGCAGCACAAGACAACCAATTAAACTAACTCATCTTTTTGAACTGTAAAAGGAAGCTGAAGAACCAGAGAGAATCCATTCATGCACAGGGAGAACAAGCTGGCTCAACGCAGAAAGACCCCCTTTTGGGATTTGAATTCAAAGCCTTCTTGCTACCAGGTTGCAGTTGAAATTTTAGAATGAACCTGAAATGCCCTATAACCTATACAGGTGACTTAAATGTAATCTAACTGTTCAATATTTTTTGCACAACTAACTGTTCTCCCACAAGGATCTTAATGACAAAATTCACAACAGGTGTTTGATCCATTTCTTGACCAATACATTTCTTCATCATGATGTTTAGATTCTGACATCATGATATCAATACAAACTAAGACTTGACAATTTTTACATCAGGTAATTGCTCTTTAGGACATTATGCAACTGATCTAACCCAATCACTACTACACATGAGATTAGTTTGGCCATTTAAAATGAAGCTTACTGAAAATTTAAAAATAAAAGCCTTGACAATCGATAGCATTAGCCTAGTAAGTATTTTAGTACTTATTACTAAATATTTATTTAGTATTAAGTACTAAATTTATTTATTAGATAAGCATTAGTAATAAATACTTATTTATTTATTAATAAATAAGTTTTCATGAATACTTATTAAATACTTATTTGATATTATATATATATAAATACATTAAGTATTCATGAATACTTATTAAATAAATACTTATTTATTAATACTTATTCATCAAATAATATTATTACAAATAAGTCCTTCACCAGAAGGACCAAATGATCACTAGCATGATCGTTTGGTGATAGTGATGCCATATGCTGCTGATAGCATTCATGCTAACATTCGCATTTTGGCAAATTTTAGCTGATTCATTAATTTTAACATACTGAATGGTGCAAGCCCATGTTAGTTAACATTCTTTTCCATTTCAGCATTCCCCCCACTCCCAAGATTTACGCCTATGACCTTTACTGAACCTACTTGCAGTGTAGAAGTTGAAATTCAAACATAAAAAAGGGATTTATCGTGCTAGTGATGTGAGACAGCTATTATTTTGAACACAACATATATATTAATATCACAACTTGAGTGGCTTTTAAAATACTTTTTTTTGTTTTTTATGTAGTTTTTCCTCTACTCTGACCAGAGAAAATCCAACAAAAACCCATGGAAGGCTGCTCTAAACATCAGTTCACAGTTGATTCAGATAACAGATCAGTCTGAAGGTACAGATCATATGCTAACTTCAACAGCTGCTTCTTGTGGCCCTGTCTATATCCACATACATTGTTTTTAAACTGCTCTTAAAGTTTGAAAGTTCTGGTGAAGGACCAAATAGGTTTCAATAAAAATAACCCATAAGTTCTGGAAATCTGCCCTATAAATTTTAATACTGATAGTATTAGAAAGATGCCTAATAGTAGGCTCCAGGAAGGTAACCTATAAATGTTGGGAAAATAACCTGCAGGGATTGAGAAGGAAAAGCACCCAGAAAATAACCTGTAAGCTCAATGAGATGGGTTCCGGAAACATAAGGACAACACAATGTGTTTTTTCCCTGCAAGAACATAAACATCAGAAATGGAGGATCACAGTTCTTCCAACCAGTTTGAGAAATGTTGAACAATGAAGAAATGACCCAAATGCTGATTTCACGAGGAAGTCTGACAATAAATTCAATGACGCAAAAAAATAAAGACTTCAAACATCACCAGCCATTATCTTTTAATTGTCTGTTGAATCCTTCAAATGTACAACTCAGAACATTTACAACACACACTTAAGTTGACAAGATTTTTATGTAGTTACAATGGATACATCTTCACCAGCATGTGTCCTAAGTAGATCACAAATCTGATAAATAACCATTCACATCTTTAAAAACAAGACGCAGGATGGGCCCAGACTGAGGACTAGGTGACATCACAGTGTCGCACATGCTCAGATGGGCATGTTAGCAGGAACCCCCCTCAGACATGAACAACCAATCAAATTTGGGGATGGGAACTGCTCTTCATAGCATCTATTATCTACAAAATGTCAAAAATGAGTTTCATCCACAGTGTAATAAATAATTGCTTGACACAGATTTCACTGTGTTGACAAATTTGGATTTGCAAGTATAAGCTATAATAAAACTTTATGTAAACATGATTTTAAATTGGTGGAAGGGATTGGCTGATATGTGCCGAGCACATACTTTCAATATTCTACCAGTAAAATCTGTTGAGAAACTACAAGGAGATGTTTCTCAACAGACAGCATAATATGAAGTCTGAAGCTGTTGGATCAAAGCAAAGAGCTCCAGCTAAGACTTGTGCATCTCTTCTGATGGTTCAACAACATAATGCTTCAGTCGGGAACATTCCAGCCTAACACTCCAACATTCCTAAACGTAGCTGCATTTACTCAGAATCTTCATCAGGGACAGGTTGGACAGTCTGGGGCTCAACTTTCACTATCCAGTCATTGGATTAGTGCGATAAAGGGACAGAAGTGGAACGGAAACACTAAAATCTCTACTTCCAAGGCTTAGAATAAAAAGTTTAGGACCCAAGGTGTCAGGAGAGAATGGAAGCAGGCAGTAGAAGAGGTCAAAATGAAAACGGTCACAGCTTGAACAGGACAAAAACATGCACAGGTCCTGCTCAGATTAAATTCCAGCTACATGAGACATGACTGGGACATCCTGGTAGGCTGCTTGTATCAAATAACCATAACAAGGAAATGGTTTTTTTTTCCCTTTTGAAAATTCTTTGTACCTGGTTGGAGGGTTAGTGGTCTCATACCTGTGGTCTTAAAGAGCATTGTATCTTCTGTTGCTTTAGGCTTGAGGCCGGACAAACATGCAAACATCGGGGCAATCTTAGTTTAGACTGATATATCAC